GATGGATGGATGGTGGATGGTTAGTGGCTGATGGGTGGATGATGGATGGTTGGTGGTGGATGATGGATGGATGCTGGGAGGGTGGGTGATGGATGACAAACATCTCTCCACAGATCTACACCTAACGGAGTGGTCCTTAATATGCACACCTCAGCTCTGAAAAGCCTGTCCTGTCACATCCCCAGCCATGCTCACCCCCAATTTTTTCTTCTTTGCTATTATCGCCACCTATGGGTCACACTCACTTGGGGGTTTTCAGTGAGTGGTCTACCTCCCCCACCAGCATGTCAAGTCCTTGAGTGCAGAAGCCCTTTCTGTCTTGTTCCCACAGTGTCCCCAGCCCCCAAAACAGTGCCTGGCTCATGGGAGGTGTTCAGCTCACACGTTTGCATGAGTCCAAGAGTAAATAAATGCACTAAACCAGTGCTTGATGGGGTGGGGGTGGGAGGGTCCTCTTGGACTCAGCCCAAGACCTCAGCCCAGCAATTTCAGCTGTTTTGTCAGTGTGCTGACTCCCTCGGCAACACCACAACCTGCCATGTATGCGGTGGGCACCGAGCATGCCTCCAGGGTGCCTGCTAAGTGCCGGCAGCGTGCTGGGCTCTGGGCAGGGCCACTCTGGTCTCTCTCCTCTAAGTGTGCCCATTCTCGGTGGGGGGAGGGTTGGCTCTTTAAATTAGCAAAAATAACAGAAAGTGACAGCTGCTTGAAAGGAAGGGGGTAGTGATGGGGAGGATGGGTGACCTGCGAGAGCATGGTTGGGGGGGCCACCTCAAGTGGGATGGTCAGGGAAGGCCTCTGTGAGGAGGTGACCTTGAGCTGAGACCTGAATGGTGAGCTGCAGAGTGTTCCAGGCAAAGAGCAGAATGACAGTGAACAAGCCTGGCCATTCAAGGGACAGCCCAGAGGCCAGCGTGGCTGGGACAGGAAGCGAGGCAGAGGCTGGGGACTGAGGTTGGGGTGGGCAAGCTGGCATGGAGGACCCCGAGGCCAAGGCCGGGCTGGCTCTTCTACAGTGCAGAGGAAGGGACTTGTGAGGGTTCTGAGCACACAGTCTGGCCTGCAAGGGAAAGCCTCAGAGCTGCTGGGCAGAGAGTGGCCTCGACGAGGCTTGGCGAGACGCCGGAGACGCCCACTGCTCTCACTACAGGAGCAGAGAGGGGTACATCTGGGGTGGAGGTGGGAGCGAGCCGGCAGGACTTGCTGGATTGGCTGCTGGAGGAACTGGGGGGTTCCCAGGCAGCCCCTGGGTTTTTAATACCAACCTCCAGGTCGGGGAGGCTTGGGGAAGTGGAGGAAGAGGGACCCAGCTGAGACACTGTTGAGCATTCACATGGGGAGCTGCAGGTGCGAATGTGGGCACCCATGGGTGAGATCCCCTGGGAGAGAGGGCAGAAGGTGGCCCGGGAGCAGCTGGGGGCAGAGGGCTAGGGAAGGAGAGGCCGCAAGGGGACAGGACAGCAACCAGTGAGGTGGCAGGGTAGCCAGGAGATGGGGTGACCTAGAGGGCTAGGAGGGAGGGGAGGCTGGGAGGCCGGCGAAGACGGGGAGGTTCTGGCCGCGCGCCAAGCCAAGCACTGCCTGACGAAAGGCTGCTGGAAGTGGAGACTGCATCAGGGTCGACACAGCGTCTCCCTGTCTGGCCATGCAGGGCAGAGGGGTGGGTGAGGGGCTGCAGGGAAGTGGAGGTGGGGGTGCGTCAGCCATGCAGCCGAGTCCTTGAGAGGTGAGTGAGGCTTGCAGCTGCCCCCTGCACCCCAGGTGTTGGGGAGACCACCACCACTGGGCAGCCCTCTTTAGTGGGGGGGTGGGGGAGGTGGCAGAGAGCCCACTTCTGCAAAGGGGAGCTGCCAGTTTGCCAGGGGTGGGAGCAGCCGAGCCAGTAGGGCGTACCGGTTCGGAGGTCTCCGTGGGTCCTCGAGCCAGTGAAAACGGATGGTCCCCGCCCCAGGAGGCCGGGCGGGAGGGGCCTGGAGCCTGGGTCAGCTTCCCGCAGAGGACTGGGTGGGTGTTGTGATGGGAGCCGGGAGGAGGCCCGCCCCTCAGGCGGCGGGCACAGCGCTGGGCTTCCCTGAGTGTCCTGTCGTCCTCGTTCCCAGATCTGTTCACAAGTGCCCACAAAGACTGCCCCATGCCGCAGGGCACAGGCCCTCTGCGCCCAGACTGGCCCACCGGCAGCCCAGCCATGGTTGCCCCCGACCACGTCACTGGCAAGGTGAGTGTCCCCGCAGGCCCGCCTCCCTGTGCCCGCCACCGTGCCCTGTGCGGCTCAGAAACCTCTCTCCTGCCCTTCCCTCGCTGCCAAACTGGGCTGCTTCCTGGGGGACAGGGCCCAGAAAGTTCGGTGGTCAGCTGGAGGAAGGTCTGACCTGTACATCCGGCTTCTTTAGAAAACGGGGCCTCTGCAGACAAGCAGCTCATTACCAGCCAGGCGCCTTTCGCTCTGGCAAGTGGGAGGACTGGCATCCTCAGGCCCAGGTCAGGAGGAAGCTCTCGGGGCTACCTGCAGGTGCGTCATTGCCACGCTCACCCCAGAAGTTGTGGCCTGAGTCGACCAGCAGATGGAGTCACCTTGGGTGGTGTGTGAACGTGATGGCTACCTGTGTGTCCCCGGGTGTGCGACACACTGCGTTGTGCCAGGCGCTTTGCCCACATCATGCCACTTCTGTATCACCATGACCGAGAGGTAGATGACACTGTCACCAGCTACACGGGAAGGCTTCGGCCGCCAGCCCAAGCATATAGCGAGGCGGCACTGGCGGCCCCAACGCCAGCCCGAGCGGGCGGCCCCGCCACGCTGCCCCTCCCGACAGAGCGGCCATCGCCCCAGCTGCTGTGGCCCGGCCAGAAGTCAGTCAGGGCCGGCTGTGAGCGCAGACCCGGCCCTCATGGACACCCGCACCCCCCGGGCTGCGGGACACTGCCATCTGCCTCTTTCTCCTCTTGTTTTAGGACAAACAGATGGATTTCTGTTGGGATCCTTGGCAGGTCAGTGCGCCTGCCTGTCCCCCAGCCCAGCCAGCCCCAGCTGACCCCACGGCCTGGTCTGCTGCGTGCAGCCCAGGCAGGCGGTCCTGCCAGCCCCAGGGAGGAGGGGCCGGTCCTGTGGGAGGGGCGGTGAGGGTGGGGTGGCAGGGGGGGAGGGGCGAGGTTGACCCTGCCCCCCACTTCCTGCAGAGGTGCTTCCAGACCACCAACGGCTACCTGTCCGACTCCAGGTCCTGCTCCAGCAACTACAACGTGGCAGCCCTGGCCACCTCGTCCCTCGTGGGTAGGCCCCCGCTGCGCGCCCGTGCCCCGGGGTCCACAGGGTCCACCCCAGACAGCAGCCTCGGGAAGGGCAAGCTGAGTGCGGTTCCTAAGTGCCAGGCTGCGGGCGGGTTCTCGGGGACTCCCAGGGGGGTTCCTGCCCCTATGGGCTCCTCTGCTGGGTTCTCCGGGGACCTGAGGGGTGTCCCCAGAAAGATGTCTCTCTGCTGGGGTCTCCCTGGCTCTCGACAGCGAATGAAATCTGCCCACTGCCCCCGTGGGTGGGGTTCCTGGAAGCCTGAGATGGTAGCTGTGAGGGTGCCGTATTGCGGGGTTACTTTCGAGGGCAGCCTGTGGGCCTGGGGGGCAGGGTGCGCCCGCTGTGCAGCTACTCTGGCTTGCTCAGCTCGGCCTGCAGGGGGCGCCACGCGGCGGGGTGCGCGCACTTGGAGGCGGGGCTGGCTGACTCCGTCTGGAGCTGGCGCTGGGGAGACCGGTGGCCCCCAGGCGTCTCTGCGGGGAGGTCTCCAGACGGGGCGCGCTGTGGCCCCGGGCGGCTGGGGGAGCGTCCTCCAGGTCCTCTGAGTCCTGTTCAGTCTTGGTCCACCGTTTCGTCCCTCCCCGGGAGGCCCCCCCTTGCCTGCTTGCAGACCCCTTCTCTCAGCCGCCATCTGAGTCAGCTCCCCCAAAACCTGCAAGCCCACAGGCTCCCACAGGGAGGGGCTCTCCCCTCTCCCCTCCACTGCCCCTCTCCCCTCGCGCTCTGGTCTCCTTAGTGGACATGTCATCTTTAAAGAAAAAAATTATTTTTATTCATTTATGGGTGTAAGAACGGGGGTGGAGGTCAGGGGCATGCGGGTTGGGGTGAGAAGATTCCCCAGAGCCAGAGTGGGGAGCAGACCAGGCCGAGGACATGCGGAGGGGAGCGGCGGGCCGGTCAGGAGCGGTCAGCGCGCCCTGTGGGTCACTCCCTGGCCGGATGGAACTCAGGCCGCGGTGGCTGTGATAGCTTGATAGTGCTGAGACTTAACCCCTGCGCCCCCTGGAGGCCCAGAGACTGCGTCTTGCTAAATCTGTCGCTGGGCCTCGCACGGTGGGCTCAGGGACCCGGAGGCTCCCTACACTGTGGGCCCAGCCTTGGTTAGCCGAGATGTGGAATCATCCTCCACACGCAGCCCCACCCAGCTCCGCCCTGTCTCCTGCTGGGCCCCCCCAGCGGCCCCGGCCCCTGTGTCCACCCCAGTCGCCTGTTCTTCCGAATGACGCACCCGGCCTGTCCCATGCCCTCCTGTGGCCCCGTTGCCCTGTGGGAATGTCAGAGCCCGGCCGGCCTCCTCGGCCCCGCTCCGGGTCTGACACGCCCCCAGCCTCTTCCACCACCCAGTCCCAGGGCGACCCCCATCTCGCCCACTGTCCTGGACTCACCCCAGGCCCTTTGTCCTCCTCGGACGGGCTGACCTTCGTCCTCCGTCTGCCCGGGCTGACCTCCGCTGAGGCCCAACTCTAGGCCACTCTCCCTGGGCGCGGCCACCCCTGCAGCACCCCAAGTCTTACTCCACAGCTGGCCCAGGGGAAGCTCTCTGGGAACTTGTTAATTAGAGAGGAGGCGGGGTGGATGCTTGATGCAGAGGGTCTGACCCCGAAGGGGATGCGGGTGCAGCCGGTCTGGGGAAGAAGCCTCAAGGGGCGGCTGGGAGCAGGATGCAAGGACAGCGAGGAGCATCAAAGTGAGGGGTGCCCGAGGACGTGGGGTGGGGAGGGGACACAGGCCTTGACTGGGCCTGAGGAGTGGGGGAGGGTGCGGGCTTGACGGCACAAGCCATGGGGTGGGCTTGGGGAGCGGGCCCCCGAGGCAGACCTGTCAGGGAGTCACCCAGCTGCCCCCACGCCCCCAGGGGTGGTGCAGAGCATCAAGGACCACATCACCAAGCCCACGGCCATGGCGCGTGGCCGCGTGGCCCACCTCATCGAGTGGAAGGGCTGGAGCGCGCAGCGGTCGGGCTGGGAGCTGTCTCCCGTGGACGATGAGCATTACTGCTGTCTCCCAGACGAGCTGCGTGAGGCCCGCTTTGCTGCAGGTCAGTTTTGGGGTGCGGGTGGAGGGCTGAGGCCTGGGAATAGGCTGGGGCCCTCTCTGGTCCATGGGGGACCCAGGGGTGTGGTCTGGGGAACTGAGGACACAGGCATCGATGGGCACAGGCCATGGGGTGGGATGGAAACTGAGAAGATAAGACATGGGGGATACTGCTGACCCTGGGGGCCTGGTTAGTCAGCTCCGAGAGCCTGTTAAGCCCCATATTGTCTGGCCAGATCCCCACACTGAACCCCAGTCTCTCTGTGCCCACAGGGGTAGCAGAGCAGTTCGCCATCACGGAGGCCACGCTGAGCGCCTGGTCATCGCTGGATGATGAGGACCTGTACCCCGAGAACAGCCCCCAGGACATCACCCAGCTGCAGGGCACAGCCCTGTGGGCACCAGGGCCAGGTGGGTGCAGCTGGGTGCCCGCTCTGCCCCCGAGGACCTCAGCTCAGCTCAGCTCCTCGTCTGTGGTGTTGGGCTGTGCCCTTGTCTGGCCTGTGCCCTGCACCTCAGGTGCTGGGCAGAAGGGTTGTGTGGTTACTGTGCCAGGCTTCTCATGGGCCATGCCGCACATCCTCACAACAGCTCTGGGGAGTAAATCCTGTTCCCTGCATTTCACAAGGGAGGGAAACTGAGGCACCAAGCGACTGGCCCCAGAGGAACGGCTGGAGACATGAGAGCCAGCCAAGCACCCCGGGGAGCCCAGCTCCTGGGTGACACCTGTACCCCGTGTCTCAGTCAGCCCTCCCTGGTCTGGCCCTGAGGCGGGACCCGAACAGACACCGGGAAGAAGGCAGCACCCCGTTCTCAGCACAGAAGGGTGTGGCGAGACCCCCGGCAGAAACTGGGGCGCAGAGAGGGTTGCTGACTTCCCCAGAGTCACACAGCTCGGGAGTGACCACAGCATGCGGGCCAGGTCCCTGCCCTGGCCCCCACGGCACCCCGGGAGAGGAGCAGCGCAGGGCGCACCACTCAGTACCCCCTTGGTTTCCCAGACCTGGACAGCATCTACCTTCAGGACAGCCTCCCGAGCGGCCCCTCACAGGACGACAGCCTCCTGGCCTTCTCCCCGGGCCTGTCCCCCGACAGCTGGCCCTCGGCTGAGGAGCCCTCCATCACAGCGGCCGGACCCCAGCCCGCCAGTCCCGAACAGCAGCACCGGAGGCGGCTGCCGGGGGCCCCGGGCCCCGAGGGTGGGGCCCGCCTGCAGGGCTCGCTCCCCTCGGTGGACAGCGGCTCCCTCTCGGAGGAGGAGGATGAGGTGTTTTATAACTGAGGGGCTGCGCCCCAGCCGCGCAGACACCGAGACCTCACTTGGCGGGCAGCCCAGGTGGTCGCGCCCGGCATCCCTGGGCCCCCAGGGCGGGCAGGGGAGGGCGCCGCACGGCCGGCACGCCTGTGGACCATCTGTGCCTCCCCCTTGACCTGGCCCGGGTGGGCGCCTCCCCTGCAGGTCCTGCCCTCAGGGAGTTCGAGGGCTCCAGACCCCAGGGCTGCTCACCTGGAGGAGGTGCCGGCCGGCCCCTGGGCAGACAAGCGGGGGTGGGCCTGAGAGGCCCCCCGGGACTGAGGCCTGGGGACCAGCCTCCGCCCTGGCTCAGCCCTCGCCCCACCCTCTGCTTCTGCCCCCGGAGTGGGGAGCCTCGCCTGGTGGCCCAGTATCTGCTGCTCAGCTGTCACCATGCAGAGACCCATTCCTCGGAGGGTCTGTCGCCCCTCACTCTCTGAACCCTGGGGCCCAGCTCCCCTTCTCCGCACCCCCTCCCATCTCCCTGAAGGGTCTCTGAAGACATTAAAGTGGTGGATTCACCCTGGATGAACTTGGCCTGGTCTCTGCGCGGGGGTATTCGCTTGGGCCCCTCGGGGGGAAGGCTAGAGGGACTTAGGGGAGGACCCGACCCCCCAATCCTGTACAGCTGGTCAACCTGCTGCTGCCCAGCTACGAGTGACCCCTACGAAGGATGCCCAAGATTGTGAACTCCCCACGGAACAGCAGCTGGGGACCCCACCTGCCTGCTCCGGTCAGTCAAGGAGTCCGGGCTGGGCTGAGGTAGCTGGGTCAGAGGGTCCTGCTTATTAGACGTGAGGACAAGCAGACCGGGCTGGGGACTCCTCCCTCCTCTCCCCTCGGGGCCACGGGGCCTCGGAGCCAGACCCAGGCCTGCGATGCTCACGTGGCCACCAGGGAAGGCGCGGACGAGGAACCAGCCGAGGCTCCTGGGACTGGAGACCGGGCTTTATTTTTCCCAGGAGCCTCTGGCTGGAGCCGGACGCCTCCAGGGGTGTCTGGCCCGGCCTGGTGCCGAGGATGTGGTGAACTCTCACCGAGCCCGCGCTGTGCGGCTTGGCTGCTGTCTCTGTGAGTTCTGTCCAGGTAGGGGTTGTCTTTCAAGGCTCGCGGCTTGTCCGGCCGAGGAGGGGCCGAGGAGGGGCCGAGGGGGCGGCAGGGCTCGGCCAGAGCCGCCTGCCTTGCCAGGGCCTGGAGGAGCTGGAGGGAGGCTGTTGTGCTGGGGGTTGGGGGAAGGGCGTGCCACTTTCACTTTGGGGCCGGTGGGTTTGTCAGGTTGGAAATGGCTTTCTTCAGCTAGAACAGAAAAAGAGGGTTTGGGGGAGGACAGCTGTAGGGGGGCTGACAGGAGGGGCTCCCCCAAGGGTCGGTGCTGGGGTGAGTGTCGGAGCAGTGCTTCCCCGTGGCACAGATGGGGTCACTGAGGTCCAGAGAGCTCAGGGTCGGCCTCTGGCCACAAAAGCAGGTGGGTGGGCCCACTGGCCACTCTGGGTCAGAAAGCGGGGCTCATCAGAATCTCATAAGGCCCCTCCAAAGTTGGGTGGGAGGGTATTGGTGCCCCCCACCTCCCCAGCTTGCTCAAGCGTGCCTCCGCCCTGGGGATCCTGGTACCTCCACCCAAGACACGAAGCCCACAGCCCGGCCTCGGCACGTGACGAAGACAGACTGGAGGTTCAACAGCTCGAAGAGGTTGTGTGCCTGGAGCGGGGTGTTAGGAAGTGCTGGGGGCAGATGGAGCTCACCCTCCCCTCTGGCTTCAATTTCTCCCTAGCCTGGGGCTTTGGACAGAGCTCCAGCTCCTGGCCAGGGGTGCAGTGTGGCGCCCGCTGACCGGGACCTGGACCTGCAGTGTCTGATGAGACCACCAGGGGTCGCCAGAGTCCACACAAAGGCCCTTAGAACTGGTGACAGGCTCCAGCAGCATCCCGACCGCCAAGTCTCCCACCCACTTCTGTGCCCGCCTAGAACTCCATGAGCCAGGCTCTGCACTTGCAAGGGGAGTTGCCTGGCAGTGAAAGCAATTAAGTAATTGCCCAAGTTCACACGGGGAGAGTGGGGTGGATCTGACACTGAAACCGGTGTGTGCCTTCATGCAGACAGCCTTAGCAGCCTCCCTCCACCCAGAGGCTCTGTCTCCCAAGACTTCCCACCCCCCAACAGCCCAGGAGTGAGGTTGCTACACCCGTTCCGAGGATGAGGAGGCACATCCAGGAGGAACAGAGAGGAAGAGCTCGTGGAGAGGCTGGGCTCTTCCCTCCTACCCCAGGGTGGGCTGCCCACGTGCCCAGAATCTGTCACCTGGTGCAAGGAGGTCTCCGGGGACAGCTGCAGGGTCACTGGCTCTGCGACGATGCAGCCACCAGCCAAGAGGTCCTGGAGACATCGCTGGGGACGGGAGGACAGAGTGCGCCAGTCTCTCCTTCACAACCCTACCGGCCCCCTCTGCCTCCCAAACCTTTACAGCGTTCCCACCTGACGTCCTGGAGCCCAGGAGCGTGGCTCAGCCTGGAGCGCCTGCACCAGCCGGGCCCTGCCCACAACACCCACCAGGAGCTGAGACTCTGGACAAGGGGAAGGGAGAGCGAGAGGGCTGCATTACAAGGAAGGAAGTTCTAGTTCCTGAGCGCCTACTGTGTGCAAGACCTGTGAGCTCAGGAGCCTACAGAAGCCTCCGGGCAGGAACTGTCCTCAGCAGCCAGTTTTACAAGAGGAGCTTAATTGTCTTGCTGGCATGGAAGGATGGCAGCTGAGGGCAATGGGTGAGGGGTCAGGATGCCGGCAGGGACCCTGCCCGCCCTGAGCTTCCCGGCGCAGGGGAGCCTCAAGTCCAGAGCGTGAAGGGGATGACCCCACATTCTGCAGTCTTACTGCGCTGGGGGTGCTGGAGCTCAGTGTACCCTAGAATTTGCAGGGATTCCATTTTGAGAGAACAGAGAGCCTGCTGTTTTATGCTTCTTGTCCAGTAAAATAAAAGCTTTACAATGAGACATGGGCAATCAAACAACTAAATCTATTTCTTCACACAGGTGAGCAGGAGGCCCTGGGCTGGGAATATTTTGCTCCTTGTTACTGCAAGGCTAGAGAAAGCTTGTTGTCTTTGAGGTCAATTCAGTCTTTGTTCCCAGGTGTTAAGCCCTTCATGGGCTCATGCATATGCAAATATTTTCTGTGGGATAATGTTAAAGGTGACCCCATCTGAGTGGGGAGAGGAGCCTGACATGTGGGGTGAGAATCTCTCAATCAGTCGACACTACAATCAATACAAAACTGACTCCTATTTTCCAGATAAGGAAACTGTGGTTGGCGGAGCTTAAGAGGTCAACCCACGGCCGCACTGCTCATAAATGGATTTATGACTCTCGGGGTGGGTATGTGGGCGACCGCTATGGTTGTGTGGGTTGTTGACGGTACCAGACAGATCTCTGCCTAGAGAATGGGGGGACCGAAGCCCAGCTGTTTGTACATGCCCAGCGTGAACCTTGTGACATCTGTAGAGGGGCTGTGCAATCAACAGGGACCTCAAGGGGCCATGGCTCCCAGCTGCCCCCCACTTTACCTTTCTCACTTATATTGTCCCAATGGAAATGATGCTCTAGCTAAACCCTCTAAGATTCCGTTTATGCACGAATAGGTCTTTCATATTTTAGAAGCTGGTTTTCTCACGGGATTAGGGAAGGGGACTGAGCCTTCTGGGACACTCTAGTTTTGACTCCATCATCCTCTCCTCACTCCCACAGCATGTCAGGCCTGGCTGCTGGAATTCCAGGGGTGTCTCACAAGCACCCTCTTATCTCCCATATGAACATGCCAATTCTCAGAAGTTAGGGTGGCTGCTATTTCCATTTTACCAACGAGAAGACTGGTGCTCAGAGAGGTGAAGTGACTTGCCCAAGGTCACACAGTGGCAGAGCCTGGCTGGATTCTGATCAGGTCGTCAGACAGGTCCACTGCCCTGCTGACCCCTCCCTGGACCTGACCCTCCAGGCTCTAAGAGGAAAGCAGAGGCTACATCCCCGGGTGTGTCCCCCCCTTCACGTAACCCTCCCTTCCTGCTTGACACCTGTGCTCTCCACCAGGGGGTACTCTGCTGTGTCTGTGGAGGTCACGACCTTGACCACCTCCTCCAGGGGCGTGTCCTTGGCCAGCGTGGTGATGGTGGAGGTCATGAAGTGCTCCACACGCACGCACTGAGAGCTGGGGGCAGAGGGATGCCCCATCAGGAGCTGGGGGAGGGGGGTACCCATGCCCCAGGAATGGGGGCCACCTGGGGAAGGTGTAGACTGAGACATTCCTGGAATGAGCAGCTCCTAGAGCCCCAAGATCAGGATAATCTTGGGGAGCAGCTCCCCTGTCACCTGGCGCTGGACCTCAGCCCCTCACCCCCTTTTTCCCCAGACCAGTGTCCCTTGGGTCTGTTTTACAGGCCACTGGAGTAGCCACCCCCAGGTGAGGCTCAGGCCAGGGGGCACCGCTCACCTGATGCTCCGGCCCCGGATCCACGGCAGGTAGGGCAGCTTCTTGACGATGATGGTGCCGTCGTAGAAAGAAGGCTGGCAGCTCTGCGCAACGGCGTTGGCCGCCAGCACCGCCATCAGCACCGGCAGCGCGTGCACGATCTGGCCAGTCAGCTCGAAGGCCAGCAGCGCCGTGGAGATGGTGTGGGTCACGGCCCCTGAGAAGGCCGCGGCCCCTGCAGGGAGGGGCGCAGCCCACAGGGCGGCTCAGGCCTGGGGCCAGAGCAAAGTGGGAGGGGGGTGGGGGGGCTGGGGCTGGGTGCCCCCTGCTGGCCACTGTTGGAAGTGCCTAAGGTGCTGGGGCTGAAGGCTGGGGGGGACCTAAGGGGGGCCCAGGGACTACCCATGCCGGGCAAGCCCCTGGTTGACTCTCCAGGTCAAGCCAGCCTTGGATGTCCGCCTACTCCCCGGGGACGACCACTTACCTGCCAGAGCGTACCCCCCAGGCATGATGGGGTTGGTGACCCCATCGGCCACGATGCCCTCAGGGAAAGCAATGGAAAGGGCCTCCCCCACGAGGCGTCCGGTGGCAGCTCCTGGCCACAGACTTAGGGTGAGGAGGGGTGCTGGGCTGACCCGGCCCCTATCACCCCCAATTCAGGAGACCAACGTGGGTACATTAGGAGGGGAAGAAGCCAAGACCCCACCCCACTGCCCTGACCTCTCAGCGCCTCACTGTCCCGCACTCACCGAAGATGAACACGGGCATGAAGTAGCCGGCGGGCATGGGGATGGTGGTGGCCAGAATCAGCATCCAGAACTGGGGGGCAGGAGCCCCGAGATAAGCAGCAAAAGGCAGCAAGAGTGGGCAGGTGAGTTCCCAGGGGAAGGGATGCCAGGCACTCTCCCAGGGGTCAAGGAGGGAGCTGGCCCGGAAGGAGCCAACCATGACCAAGGGCCCCCGGGGTATCTGGCACACTGGGGCTCCCCCCCCACCGCCCCCGGCCTTGGCCCCACCAACTCTGTGAGTTGGGATGCGATTTGCCGGGGAGCCACAGTGGGCGGGGTCAGATCAAGGAGTTGGGGCGGAGGGCTCCAGGAGGTGGGCCGCACCTGCACCCCAGCCACGGTTGGCACACTGGGGTGCCACACCCCCACATGCACCTTCATAACCAGGAAGAAGGCGAGGGTCCCAAAGACGGTGAACTGCGGGTGGTGCCACTCGAACCACAGGTTCTGGGGGTCAGGCTCAGCGGGCCAGGGGGGTGAGGCGTTCCGAGTCATCAGGGCCCACGAGTTGTTGTCAAACAGGGTGTCCAGATGCTCCTTCATGGACAGCTGCGGGGTGCAGGGCCAGCATGTGCACGAGGGCCGGCAGCCCACCGGCACCCACTCCCCACCGGCCCTGGAGGGGACCTTGGCAAGAGCTCTGCATCTCCCTGGCTGCAGTTTCTGTGGAAACAACACCCCTCCCAGGTGCTGTGGGGGTGATGAGGTGGTACAATGTGGAAAACCAATGGGGGCCCCACTCAGCCCTCCCCAGCTCAGCACCCCTTACCCGAGAGGCCATGCAGCGGCCCACACCCGGGGGGTAGGTGATGGAGGCCAGGAGCACGGCAGCCAGAGCGGAGTACAGGGGCTTGCTGTGGGGAGAGGAGGGCAGCTCCAGGCGGGCAGGGACGGAGCCCAGGCCAGGGCCTGCCCCTGGAGGCCAGGTGGCAGGAGCGGGAGGAGGGAGGGAGCCAGGCGCTCCGGGAAGACAGCCCCCTGGGTCAGCCCCCTCCCCCAGCTCTGTAAGGAGGGCAGGGCTGATGGGGAGTTGGCAGCAGCGGCTGGCAGGGGAGGGGCTCTGGCCTGGCCCCCCACCCCCAGTGCTGGCCAGGGAAGGCCAAGCTTGGGGGGCACTGTGGGGAGTAGGAGAAGACAAGGTGTGGGGAGGAAAGAGGCGTGCGTGTTCAGGTGCTTGGGACTTGGTGGGGAGGGGGCCCCAGGGAAGTCAGCGAGGGCCTGGACGCAAGGACAGGGTGACATGGAGGTGGGGAGCCCAGTAAGGGCGCAGTGGCGGTGGGAACCTGGGGGGTGCTCCGAACATGGGGTATGCGCTAGGGACCTTGGGGACCTCAGTGCAGGCTGTCATGGGTGGGGCGCTCTACATGTAGGGAGCCAGGGGCTGAGAGGCCCCAGACCAGGCCAGCGCACCTGGTAGCCAGCAGCTTGGAGGTGAGCCGATTGGTCTTGACGAACATGAGGAAGTTCCGCTGACAGAACAGGTAGGCACAGCTCAGGACGCCGCAGATGGCCCTGGGGGGCAGGGAGGTGACTCTAGACTCCTCCCCACCACCACGGCAGCAGTTCAGGCCTGGGCCAGGCTCTCCAGGGGTACAAGCACCCACTCACCCCAGTGCCACAAAAAAGAAGATCTCCGGCAGGTCGAAGGGGACGTCCACTCGGAAGCTGGTCTTGAAGAGCGAGGTGATGGTCTCTGGGAGAGGAGCGGGGTGGGGATGAAGAACCCGGGAACTAGCAGGCAGGGGTGGAGGTGAGGCCAGCCCCCAGGCCCCTGCCACCTGGCCCTGCCTCCCTGCCCTGCTTGGCACCCTCAGCCCTTAGGCTCCCCCAACCTTCATGCCCACAAACTCATCCGTGGAAGAAGAGGGAAAAGGAGGAAGAAAGGAGGCGGGCGGAGGCCGCTGGCTGGGGGTTCACCCTGCTCGCTGTTGAAGACGGCCAGCAGGCGGAACATGAAGGCCCCGCAGGTGGCGGCGAAGAAGCCTCTCCAGTAGTCCCAGACGGAGAAGTGCGAGGACATCACCTCGATGCTGAACAGGACGCCTGGGGGACACAGCTTAGGGAGACCCCACACTGGACCCTCCAGCCCTCCCTGCGCCCAGACCCCTCCTGTCCCGATTTTGCCCATCTCTTAGCTCCAGGCTGGATGGCAGGGGGCAGAGCCCCGGTCCCAGAGACCGCGCCCCGGGGTGGGGACCGAGGAGCCCCGTTTTTACAGACGAGGAAATCAGGCTCCGAGAGGTGCACTCACTCGCCCAGGGTCAGCCCTGGGAGGAAGATTCTACTCCCACCTCTGTCTAACAAAACCCTAAAAGGCCGCGCCCCCCCGCCCGCGGTCACTGCGCCCCTGCGAGACGCAGTGAGAACCGAGACCAGAACTGACCACTGCGCCTACTCCCCAGGCGCCTGTGGGCCCAGGGGACCCTCCAGGGGCGCCCCCAGGGGCCGGGAGGGGCTTGCGGGAGGGACTGACCGCTGAAGGGCGCTGCGAAGACCGTGGCCACGCCCACCGCCGCCGCAGCCACCAGCATCTCGTTCTGCTTGCTCTTGTTCTGGGGGATCCGGAGTCCAGGGCTCAGAGTCCGCGCCCCCCCATTCCCCTGAGGGAACCCCTCTCGAGCCCCTTACCTCAGGCTCCCCGATGGTCTTGAGGCGCAGGCGGCCCAGGTAGGCGGCGATCATCACTGACAGGTGCACGAAGGGGCCCTGCCAGGAGAAGTGCCCGAGGGCGGGGCCTGGTGGGCCTGGAGAAGGTTGGGGCCCTCGTCTTCCTTGCACCCCCTCCCTGCCAGGATTGGGGGATGGATGGCGCCTCATCCAGGGTCAGCATGGCGAGCCCCCCTCTCCCATTCTCCAGGCCCTTGGTGACCCCCTGAGACCTAGCCTGCCTCTTCCCCAAGACTGAGAATTCACCACCAAAACAGACTGGCCTGAAATTGGCCTGAATCCCCCCGACCCAGCTCTGGCGGGGCGACGAGAAAAGGCCGAGCAGCCGCCCGTACCACTTTGCCCAGGAAGATGGTGCTGCCGGTGGCTAGCGTGCAGGTGAGACCCACCACCTTGGCCCCGAAGTTCTTGATATCCAGGTAGTCCTCCAGGACCACGCCCGACAGGATGGTCTTCAGCTCGGGGATCCCAGAGCCTTGGCAGGGGATGGACAGGGGGCAGGGCATGGACAGGGGGCACAGGAGGTTAAAGGAAACTTCTTTTTTTTCTTCATTTATAAATGACAGACTTGTTAGCAAATGGAGAAAGAAGAGACGCCTGCATAGATGCAGGTGGGCAGAGACCTTCTTCGCAAAGGAAAAGGTTTGCAAAAACAAGCGCCCGCGTAGTCAGAGACGCGGGCGGCCCTAACTCCTGCCAGGTGGCTCAAAGCCCTGTCTCCCGCTGCAGGTGCGGACGCTGCCGGGCAGCGGTTGGGGCGTGCGGCGTGTTCTTCCGGCTGAGCCCTCTGGGGCAGGCGAGGCCCCACCCGAGCGCCCCTCTGCACCAGGGAGCTGGAGGCAGAGCTGAGAGGCCTGGGGAGACGCGCCCCTCCGAGGGCCACCCCCCCCCCCCGTTCCGGGTCTCCAGGCCAGCCTGCCCACACTGCTCCCATCATGGCCGAGGAGCAGCACCGACGGTGGCCCAGGAGTCACGGTCAGGCCTCCTGCTTGCCTTTGGGCCAGCGACGTGACTCCCAGCCTGCGTCTCCAGCTGCGAAGTGGGGCTCCTGTTTGCTGCCCCCATCAGAAGCCCGAGGATGTGAAGGTTTTGGCCGGGGTCCATGAGGCTCACCTCCAGAGAAGGGCGTGATGCTCTGGGAGAAGCCCGAGGAGAAGGACACCAGAGCCACGGGGTACACGGTCCAGGAGAGATACCGGAGCAGGTGACTGTCCCCAATCTCCCGGTACAGCCACTTGTGTGCTAGGGACAGCAGAGAGTCAGAGAGGCAGCTGCAGCTGCAGCCCTAGTGACCGGGAAGAGGAGGCTGGGGACAGGGGAGGCCCAGGGCCACCTGTGACTAGGATCCTGCCCCCAGCCCCGATTTTGCCACCCCCTAGCTGGGTGACCTTGGGCAAGTGAGTCAACCTCTCCGAGCCCATTTCCCCCAGGGGGTGAGTGACGGTGCCTCCCTCACAAGGCACTCGGACATGGGGTGTGTGACAGGCCTTCATGACGGCACTTGAGTCAGCCCCCAGAGGGGGCGTCTGTGACTTCCCTGCCCCGGGGCCCCTCTTCCAGGGAGACCTCAGGGTGGAGAGTGCCCCCCAGAGTTGTTGAGCTGAGAGCAAGGGGGGAGAAGGAACAGGCATGGCAGGGAAAGGTAGACATAGAAGGGGATTTTGGACAGTCAGGCAGGTAAGCAGACTAGGCTCAGAGAGGGGCAGGAAACTGCCCAGGGTCACACAGCAAGGCGAGACAGAGCCAGCACCAGCCCAGAGCCCTCCCCCACCCCTGCTGCATCCGGCAGCCCATCTGGCACCCCCAAGGGCATGCTCAGAAGCTCCGGCCAGAGGAGGTGTGTATGCTGGGGCATGGGGGTTACCTCGGACCACACGTCCCACTGTGAAGCTCATGGTGTAGCTGATCAGAGCCATGAGCACCCCAAGAATCATCAGGAAGTACCAGTCCTCACCCACGCGGAATAGCTTCTGCTTCAGCCACTCCAGGCCGGCTGGGGCAAAGCATGGGTCACCAGGATAAGGGGCAGGGCATGAACAGTCCCTTGCCCAGAGGCCTGCTCAGGCACAGGGCGGGGAGGGCAGGGTAGCGGGGAGGGGTCTCGGCCTCACCAGGGGGCCCCGTCCAACACCCCTTGAGACACGGCCCCTCCCACCCCACCCTGCCCCCGCTCCCACCCTGAGTCCACGGGCGCCTTCCTCCAGGCATTGGCTCCAGACATCACTGCCCCCCGCCCACCCTGTCCGCCCACCCCACTCCCAGTGCGTGCTGGGGGATTTATGGAAGAATGATCACGAGGGGGCAGGGGCAGAACTTAGGGAGCAAGAGGGTCTAGCAACACGCCTGGGCCTTCCCGGGCCCCGGGCGGCCGCCCTGGAGTCAGAGGCCAGAGAGCACCCGGGGAGCCCAGAAAGGCCAGTGGAAACTGACCCTTGCTGACTGTGGGCACCAGCCCCTGGGGCAGCTCTCCCTCTGAGGTCCCTGCCTTTGCTACCGCCAACTAAGGGGACAGTCCAGGTCTCAGGGTGGACACTTCCAGGCAGTGACGTCTGGAAGCAAATGGCTGGAGGAAGGCAGCCCGTGGACTTGGGGGGCGGGTGATGTCCTGAGGGGTGCTGGGCTGGGCAGGGCAGGGGACCCAGCTCTCACCTCGGACCCTGCGGCGGACGTGGGGACAGGGGCCCCACAGCTCCTGCAGAGCCACGGGGTGCCCTGAGGAGCCCTCACGCAGCCCTACCAGCTCCTCCATCGGGTCCCCGGTGCAGCGGGCAGCGGGCAGACGGGCAGACCTCAGCAAGCTGCCCTCAGACGCTCACTCTGCCACTGGCCTCCCAGGGCTGCTCGCTCCAGAAGGGGAGAGGTGGCCAGTCGGGTGACCCTGGAGACCTGCGGGTCTGGGGCGCCCTCCTGGGGGCGCTGTATGTGTGAGAGAGCAGGGTGGGCACGGGGTGGCCTAGCTGTGCTCTCCATGTCCAGCAGCAGCATATGGTGATGGCAGGGCCCCAACACCCAAGGCCCCTTCCCTCCTGTGGCCACTGTCCCCCCATTCCAGGACTCTTGGCTATCCCAGGGAGGGGAGGACCCCTCAAGTGCCTCTCACTGGGGGCACCAGGGCTGTTCTGATGCTCAAGCCCATCCCTGAGATCCCTCTCAGCTCAGGCCACAGAAGCAGGAAGACCCCCAGGCTAGGAGAGTCCTGAGGTGTCCCTGGCCCCACCCCTCCGCTCCCCCTGCCCCAAAGCTCCCAGCCAGGTGCACAGCGCCGGGCGGCCCACAGCTACTCACCTCTGTGAATCTCCCTGCTATGGCCCCAGCACCCTCCTGCAACAGAGGTTGCTTTGCCCACAGCTCAGGTACACCTGGACAGGTATGTGCTCCACCAATCAGCATGCAGCCTCCCCTCCCCCACCCAGCCCGCCGGGCTTGCCAGGCCATTAAGAATGTCCTTGACAAAACCAACTGAAACTGCCCAGGCTGACTGAGCCCTGCAGGCCAGAGCACCCGAGGGGGGCCAGGGCACGGGCTCCTCCCCACCCACCAAAGGAGGTGTCCCCCGAGCCGGGGGACCTGGGAGGAACCTGGCGTGATCCCAGTGTCCAGCCCCTCCAGTCTCAGAAACTGCCTCGCCAACCGACAGGGCAGCAGCTGCTGGGGACCTGGGGGGACCTGGCACAGGCTTTGCCCCAGCCCAGCAGAGGGCACAGGGGTGTGGGCGTGGCGAGGAAGCGCGCACCTTACCGGCCACCTGTGCACGTGCTGGGCGCTTTTCATCTCGAGTCAGGGACCGGTCACCATTTCTCAGATGACAAATGGAAGATCAGAGAGGGGCAGTCACTCGGCCAAGGTCACCCAGCAGAAGCTGATCCCAGCCCTAGACCTTCCCCTACCTGGAGACTTCCTGCTTCTCTGACTTCACCAGCCAGGGCAAGAATTTCAGCACAAAGCAGAGGACTTGTGTCTGATGTCGCTTTGGGGAGAGTGAGGTAACCGCCCCTCCTGGTCCCCAAAGATCCCCTCCTTCTGAAAATCACGATGGCCCTTCAATGTCTTGTCAAAATCTTGGGACCCCAGGGACCCTCTGCCCCTGGAAGCAGAGGGTATGTGTGTGAGTGTGTGTTGGGGGGGGCTCGCTGCTCTAACTGAGCTCATGCCACCTTGGCCACCCCGCCCATCAACTGTGTACAGTAACTAGGTCAGCAGCTGCCCTGTTGACACCCCAAACACCGACCACTGGCCTCGGGCAGGGGCTGGTACAGCCCCACAGCTGGCAGCGCACGTCCACACCCTCCCCCCCGCCTGTGAGCACCAGGAAACAGGACAGGTCAGCAAGGGGGGCTCAGCACCCACGTCCGGGTCCCTCCCAAAGCCTCGGGCCCACGTGCCAGTCCCCAGGGCCCCCTCATCCACGCAGCGAGGCTTAGAGTCTAGCGGGTCCTTCACCTGAGCCTGGCAGCGCCCTCCCTGCCCAGCACGGGGAGCCTGAATGCCCGGAGCAGGGGCCTGTCTGCCCCATTCATCACAAGACTCCGGAGTCTGGGGCAGTGGCCAGCATGGGCCAGGTGCCCACTAAGTATACCTGCTGAGGGATGCCAGTTCCCTGGGCTGGCAGTGTGGGGAGCAGATGAAGCCAGATTCCTAGGCCTTTCCTGAGACCCCCAATCAGAATCTTGGGGAGAAAGATGAAGAGTCTGTTGGCTGGAATATCTCCCATGTGAGTGGGAGGTGTTAGCAGTTTGGGGTGCAAGGCCTTGGGTCACCTCTGAAGTTCCTCTATCGCTGTGATCTGCAGAGCGAGGCATGCCAGAAACAGGGGAATGACCTTGATGGCTTTTTGCGGTCCCTCCTGGCCAGTGAAGCCAGTGGATGCAGTCAGTATATGTGTGGGTGACAGCTCAGGGTGGGGAAGGGCAGAGCAAGGGGGGGGGGAGGGACGAGTCTGCCCTCCAGCAGCAGTGACTCAGGCTCTCTGCACCGTGACAGCGTGTCTGCATTTAGCCACTGGCTCCTGTTTCCCTGGCGGGAGACAGGCTCGTGGGCCCCCCACCCCACCCCCACTCTGTCCATGTCGCCTCATTGCTGGTGACTTCCTGGCAGCTCGAGTGGAGCCCCTCAGCCAGGGTGGGTGCCGGGCTGGCCAGGACCCTCCAATGGAATGACAGGCCTCTTGCTCCAGCCACTGCCCGGGCCCTCAGTAGCCCGCCAGCCCTGGTGCTCACCCCTATAATGAAGCACCTCAAGGATGAAGCTCTGTGAGAGGCAGACGAAAGATAAATAATACCCACCTTCAGGAGCCCCTGCTCTAGGGGGAGTAAGCCCCTACCTTGGGGGAGCCGCCGGTCTGATGGGGAAGTGGACACAGGCCGAGAAGTCACAGGCACGAGAAACCGTGTCACACCACTGCTGGGGGGAGCCCCCGGGGGGTCCCCGGTGGGCCGCAGCAGTCAGACCTCCCTGGGCAGAAGGACCCTCAGTGACCTGGGGAGGGCGAGGCCCCACAGGGTGACAACACCTGCCACGGGATGGGTGGAGGGTCCTCCTGCCCGGACGGGCTCCCTGCTCGGGCCTAGTCCTGCGTGGTCAGTCCCGGCTCTGCCAGACCCGGGTGAGAGGGGCGGCCCCCTTTGGGCCAGCCTATGTCCACCTGCCTATGTCAGTGGCTGCGGAGTCAGACAGGGTGGGGCCGGCACCCTGGCTCTGCCACTAGCCCCTGCAATCCCTCTGTGAGTCTCCGTTTCCCTGTCTCTAGAATGGGGATAGCACCCCTTCCGGGGCTGGGGGTGCAGAGGGGACCCTGCAGAGCTCCCAGCCGGGAACCAGTGCCCAGGCCCCTCCAGGGCTAGAATAACTGTCTCCTGGGACCCCCGCACCTCCGGCTGAGCTCCTGCACGCCATCCCCAGCAGCTCCTCTGAGCTGGAGGTTGATGACAGCTCCCGAAACATAACCGTCTAGATTTTGAAGGACAATTATCAGATTATCTCCCCTCCTCCTCTGAGTCAGACCCAACCCCAGCCCTGTCTCAGGCGGCCCCTGGGTGTTCTGAGTCAGGGATTGGGGGGGGGGCAGCCTGGAATGAGGCCCGGGGTAGCTGGCAGGGGGACAGCTGCACTTTCTACACCACCCCCCAGGAGCTGGCTCCCTCTTTCCTGAGAGAGGGCTGTAAACACTCACCCCAAGGGAACAAGCCCTTTGTCTCCCTCCTGGGCCCGGCAGGTGGGTCTGCCCCCACCCTGATCTGTCCTGGCAACACCAGGGGCTTGAGCCCCTCATCACCCACCACCCAGATCCTCTTACAAAGGGCTAGAACTGGGGCCCGAGAGGGCTGGAACTGACACACGCCCTGTCCTCAGGGAGCTTCCAGTCTGAGGGGGAGATGCCCAGGCTGACGGGGGAGACAGAGACACAGAAACGCCGGACACAGGCCTCAGGGTGGGCACGGGGGTCTGAGGCCAGCCCCCCACGTCGCCCACACACCCCATGGAGCAGAGGCCCTGCGGCTGGAGTTATCGGCCTGGAATGCAGGCGGTGAGCTCAGCCCTCACGGGCCTGCGTGTGTGGGGCTGTCAGCGGGGCCGTCTCACTGGAGAAGACTTCCAGCCCCCTCTGGGCCACGGAGAGGCCTAAATTTAGCTGGTAGACAAGGGCCTGGCCCTGCGCCCAGGGACTGTCGGGCCTTATAAAGCGCCGGCAGTCAGGGCCCAGCCAGCTCCCTCAGAGGACGCCGCCTGCACCCTCCCGTCCGCACCGCTCGCCTGGCCAGGGCCTGGCCGTCCGCCGTGGATGAGCCACAGAACCTCCTCCACCTTCAGAGCGGAGAGAAGCTTCCACTCCTCCTCTTCGTCGTCGTCCTCTTCCTCTTCTTCGTCCTCCCTGGCCTCCCGCGCCCTCCCGGCCCAGGACCCACCCATGGAGAAGGCCTTGAGCATGTTTTCTGAGGATTTTGGCAGCTTCATGCGGCCCCACTCAGAGCCCCTGGCCTTCCCAGGCAAGTGCTGGCGGCTCTGGGGGGCGGGGGGCGCAGGTAGGGGACACCTGCTCAGGGCACCGTGACAGCTGCCGCGGCTGCCGAGACACCAGGGACGGGTGTGCAGAGCCGGGGCCACCGTGCAGCCCCCGACACACAGAGACAGCGGTGGCCGTGACGCCAGACGGGCCACCAAGGGATGCTCGTGGCCGGAGGGAGGGTCGGTGATGGTGTGAACAGCCCCCAGCCCTGGCTGGACAGGGTGGGAGGAGGGCTGGGAGGCATGACGGGGCACCCAAGCTGCAGGCAGCCCGCTGAAGACGCCGTACATGCACACACCCACCCCCCACCCTCCCCAGAAAAGGCAGAGGCGAGAGACGAGGTGCAGGCCAGGAGCTCGGGAGCTGCGCTAAGGGGGAGATCAGGCCTGGGGGGCCCCGTCGCCCCAGTCGTGGAGCCTGGATGCTGGATGCAAACCTGCCTGTGCTGAGCTCACTGAGTCCTCCCACAGCCCGTCCCGGGGGGCCCGGCAACATCAAGACGCTGGGAGACGCCTACGAGTTCGCGGTGGACGTGAGCGACTTCTCTCCCGAAGACATCATTGTCACCACCTCCAACAACCACATCGAGGTGCGGGCCGAGAAGGTGAGCCTGGCCCACAGCCTGGACCCCGGCTCCACACCGGTGCCCTCTCCTGGTGTCTCCCCTCCGTCTTGCCCTGAGCCCCTGGGCCCTGACCAGTGCCCCCCACGCCCCGGGGCAAGCTGGAGACCCTGTTCCTGTAGCTTGTGGGCAGGGGACCTGGTTGATTCTGCCTCTCTCTGCCCCAAAGCTCCCAAATCCTTTCTCTAGGGAGCCAGGGGGAGAGAATGCAGGCGGGGGCTCCCTGAGATGGGAGGGAGGGCAGAGGGGAGGCGTGGCTGAGTGGCTGAGTGAGGCGGGCAGGTGGGGGGCTCACCTGGGCGAGGGTGGGGAGCAGTTCCCTCAAATGACAGCCTTCGAGCTTTCTCCCCCCCTGGGCCCAGAGGCCCTGCGCCACTCTGGGTCCCCTGACCTGGGCCCCAGGCAAAGGTCCTGCAGGTCTGGCCCAGTATCTGCACCCAACGGGCACTGGTGCCTGTGCCGCAGAGGAGGGCGTGGTGCGTCCTGACCTGGGAAGGCGCCATAGCAACGCCTGCCGGGTCCAGGAGGTCTGCTCAGGACTTCCTCTGGGTCTCCGCGGCCTGGCCTCCTCCCCTGAGCACGAGAGCTGGACGCCTAGACACCCTCGCCAGGAAGCCAAGGACTGGACACCGGGACCAGCAGGCAGCACGTGCCAGCTCTGCCACCCCCGCCAATGACTCAGCCTCAGCCGCCTCGGGCTCCCCTGGACACTATGTGCCGGCCGGGCCGTGGGGGAGGGGCCAGCGGGTACCCAAGGGGGCACGGGTCTGCTCTGCGCCATCTCTTCCTGCTCAGAAGCCCCAGCGTCGGCAGGAGCCCACCAAGCCCCTTGCCCATCCTTGGGAACCGCCGATGCTCCTCGAAGCCCCTCGGCCTGCCGCCCCGCCCGCGGCCGGCCTCTCTGCCAGGCCTCTGCCCTGAGACTAGACCCCTCCGGTCTGTGGGTGCCCTGCTGGGGCGGGCTGGGAAGAAGGCACCTGCTGCAAAGGGCTGTGGTTTGGACGGAGCAGGAAGGGTGGTGCGGCCTGCCCTGACCCATGCCCTCCTCCAGCTGGCGGCTGACGGCACGGTCATGAACACCTTTGCACACAAGTGTCAGCTGCCGGAGGACGTGGACCCCACATCGGTGACCTCGGCCCTGAGGGAGGACGGCAGCCTCACCATCCGCGCGAGGCGCCACCCGCACTCAGAGCACGTCCAGCAGACCTTCCGGACAGAGATAAAAATCTGAGGGACATCCCTTCCCCCCTCCCCCCGACTCCCCTGCCCAGTCCCCCACTGGCCTGCCAGAAAAGTTTTCCCAACCCCCTGCAGGACAGCTTCCAGAACATCTCAGCCCAGGTCCAGACCCCAGGTGGGTCATCCCCCCAAAAAACTGAGTCTTCTGCTCTGCCCAGGGCAGGCCAGGGACTGCCCTGGCCTCACCCTTGGCCGCCGATACCACAGGTGGCCTCTTTTATGCAAAGCAGAACAGAAGGTGGGGTGGGGAAGGGGACACCCCAGAGACCTCACTGTGGGGGAAGGGCCGCTGGGACAGGCAGGAACTCTGGGGGAATCATCTGCAGGACAGTAAATTCTTTTGTCTATGGAACCTCTGCAGGACAGGGAAGGGGGTGCCCTGGGCCCTAAGGAGGGAGAGTAAGAATAGAGGGAGACAGGCAGCAGCCCCCCCCGTCTGACTTGGGAGACCAGGGGCACCAGGAGGCCAGAGGGACAGCCAAGATGGGGGAGCCTCCCTTCTGCCACTCCCTGAGCCCCACCCAGCGCCGGGCCCTGCCACGGGCGCCCCCAGCCAGCCAGCTGTGTCCAGGCAGGGCCTCGCGTGTCTGCGTCTCGTGGGGTTTTTCCAGCACAGCGGGTTCGTGACAAAATCGCCTCCTGCCTGCCACCTGCTTGAGCCCCAGGCGAGGCTGGCGAGGGGCCCCTGGTGCTTCTCCCTCCCATCCCCGGGCCCGGGCTCCTGGGGCTGCCTCCACTGCCCGGGTCACTCCACCAGGTCGGGGAGAGGGGGCGGGGGCTTCGGGTCCTCCAGATGGGACCCCAGCTCTTGCCCGTCTTCCCCTGTGGCAAGTTTCCCCCCATTCTTCCGTTAATCTATGAATCTACAGACTGTGTTCTGCACACCGCATTGCATAGCATAACCATGGGTGGAGGCCGGATCCAGAACATTCTAACAGCAAATTTACAATCTCTACTTTTCTCAGTGGGAGAGCCAGTGCCCAACGTGCGTGCCCGGCTTACATGCTACAAGCGGGGTCTGAACCCCAGACATCAAACCAACACCCCGCTGTCCTGAGGAAGTTCCCTCACTCGCTCCCCTTGGCCTGTGTACCCTGCTCCCACATCTTCCTGCTGGCCCAGGCCTCAGTCATAGAGAGGGGTCCCTGCTCCAGGGCAGGGACCTCTAGTCAGCCCCCCCACTCTGGGGATCCCCCCGCCCACAGCGACTTGGCTGTCACCCACAGACAGAAGCAAGGTGAGGTGTGAGGGGTGGCTCAGGGTGGGCCAGGCCCCCACCCCCACCCCGAGCAAGTGGCAGGGCCTGCTTCTGCCCGCTGTACCCTCAGCGTTCTGTGGGGTGACCCTTCAGCCCTGCCACTCTGGGCCCTTAGGGGACGACTGGGGCAGGGAGGGTCCTGGCATTGTACCCTGCGCACAATAAACAACCGAATCAGACTTCTGGAGATCACCTGCCTGGCGTTCTCAACCTTGGTGGGAGGGGGCTGGGGGCTGCAGGCAGGGGTGGGAAGGTGCAGGACAAAGGGGGCATACCTTCCTGGAGACTGGGGGACAGGAGGGGTGGGCGAGCCCTGGTAGCTGAGGTAAAACTCGACCCTGCAGAAATGTGGGTGTCCTCTGGTCGCCTCCCCTGGCTCCAGACCCACCAGGGCAGGAATCAGGAATTATCCCCGAAAAGCCTTGCACGGTCACCTCCTGTTGCAGCCGCAGACAGCGTCCCGGGGAGTGAGGACCCCCAAAGTCGCCGCCCTCTTGAAGCCCAGGTCCCAGATGAGTCAGAGGCCCAGAGAGGCTGGGTGACTGGCCCAGGGCTGCACAGTCCTGGAGGCAGAATCAAGCTGGGGACTGGCTCGTTCGGAGCACCTGAGCGCACCCAGGAGGGGGTCCCCACCCCAGTCCTCCCACCCCAGTCCTCCGAGCGCGGCTGAAATCGAGCGCCAGGGCTCCCCTACGCGGCGGGCTGCTGCGGGGAGGCGGGGGAGGAAGGGGCCGCGGTATTTCCAGCCTCCGTGACTCACTGATTCCGTCAGGCTATTTGCAGCCCGACACTCAAGCGCGAGTGGGGGGTGGGGTGGGGGAGGGGCGGGCAGCTCCCCTCTCCCCCGCTCCCACCCGGGCTGGGGCTCACCTTGGCATCCTACCGCGGCGAAGTCCCTCCCTCCGCCACCCGCAGTCGGGGCTGGAAAGGGGTGCTCCCCAAAACAACAGAAGCATTGCATACTCCCCACGCCCATCCCCAGACCCCAACAGCCCCTTCCCCAGACTGAGGCTCTCGGGGTGAGAGTTCCCTTGGGGGGGGGGGGGACCGATTACCGTAATGAGGGAGGGAGCCCGAGGGCCAAGGTGACCCTGCGGCGAGGAGGGCTGGAAGGGGGGCCCCAGCAGGCCGGTCTTTCAACGGCTCCGCCCCCTGGCGCAGGGGCTGACCTCGGCTGCTCGGTTCCCGGCGCCCCTCGCCCTTTCCAGGCTAAATATAGGCTGGCTGCAGGCCCCGCGCCCCGCCCCCCTGTGCAGAATAATTATAGCCGTCCCATTCATCGAGTGCTTAGCGTACGCCAAAGCCCCGCTTGTCCCCACAACAATCCCGCAGGTATGTACCGAGGAGCACGTGAAGGCTCGGAGAGGTCAGCCCCCTGGCCAAGGTCACCCAGCCTGGGGTGGCTGGGATTTGGTTCCAGTGGATGCTTCCACAAAGCCCTCCGCTGGGCCAGCCCAGATCACGCCTCACCACCAGGCGCCAGGCAACCCCGCCTGCCCCACCCGGACTTGGGAACCCAGATGGGGGACTTGGCTATCGTCCAGCTTTGGGGGTAACCCTGGGCAGGGGGCAGGGGAAGCTGGACAGGTGCTGCCCCTCAGGGCTGGAGACTGAGAATCCCCGTCAGGCCTTGGCAGGGAGGACTTAGGTTGTCCCTTGGCCCAGGCCAAGGCCCTCCTCCTCCAGGAAGCCCGCTGGAGCTGCGGGTGCTGTTTAGGGTGGCACTGCTGGCCTCCTACCCTGTGAGTGGCCAGCTGCTTTTCCCTGAGGCCCTACGGAGGGTGCACCCAGGACAGCCATCCTTGGGAATTGGGTGGGACTCCGTAGGGTGCTCCTGGAAGGCCGCGAAACAGGCTACTGGGCACAGAGAGAAGAGGGCAGGACACACATCTCCCCTCTCCCCACCCTCCTTTCCTCCCGGGTTTCCCATACAGGTCTTGACCACCCGCTCTGTGCAGGCTGGGAGGCACTGGACAGGGAGGCACTGGACACTGGCCGGGACTACACATGGCTGGCAGACTAGAACTGTTGTGGGGAGAGCAGGGTGAGGAAGGATAGTGGGCCCGAGGGAGGGTGTCGGGGGGGGGCACCAGGACAAGAGCTCCCTTCACCGACTCCCTTTCACTCCCTGGTACAAGGAAGACTTGACTTGTTTGGTCTTTCAACAGATTTCTGTTATTGCTCCAGTGTGGCTTGTGGATCATGTTCTGAAGTCCAAGCCCCTCCTCTTCAGCCCTGGCTGTCTCGCGTTAGCTGAGTGACCTTGGGTCCACTGCTTAACTCACCTGAGCCTCAGTTTCCTCATCTGTAAAATGGAACAGCACCTCACAGGTTGTGGTGAAGAGACACACTGAGCTGTGCGCTGACAGGACTTAGCTCAGTGCCTGTTCTGGAAAGCTCCACACCAAAGGCTTGCTCCATCACTATTCAGTTTCACAGAGCACTGGTTTCTGGAACGTTCTCTCAGTCCTCCTGTGTGCCCCTCAGTGCGGGGTCCTCTCAGCCCTCACGTTGCCAGGCCCTGGCTGGGTCCTGGGGAAACGGCGCTCTGTCTCCTCCTTCGACAAGAGAGCCCAGCTTCGCCCTCAGGCTGCGGGGGTTCGGGCTTGGACCTTGCCTCTTGCTGGCGATGTCGTACATGGCTGCACCTTTGTTTCCTCATCTCTAAAATGGCAGGAAAACCTGTACCCACCTTGGGACCTGGGATGAACTGAGATGGCACGCGGTGCCACAAAATATCTGGTCAGCAGCCCTAATCTCAACGCCTGTTCCATAGGGGGGGACCAACGCTGCCCCACTGATTTAATCCTGAAGTGTGCTGTGATCTGGCATAAACTCTCATGATGCCGATGAAAGTGCTGTGTAGAATGAAACTTGGTTTCCACAACCATGGCGGCTGGTCTGGTACTGAGCCTGTGCGCACAGGTGAGCAGATACGCTCTCCCCATCCTCCCTGCTGTCCTCCCCTCCCCCCTCCTCCCCCCCCCCCCCCCCCCCCCCCCCCCCTGCCCGCCGCCCCTCCCGTGCCCCGCCGGGGCCCACGCTCTCCGCCTGGTGATAGGGCGACACCTGCTGGTGAAAAGCTAGAGGTGCAGCCACAGACCTCACCCTTCCCTGCTGGAGCGGCTCGAATTCGCGTTAGGCTCTTCAAGCTCCGTGACACTCAGCTGGGGAGCTACACCCGGGCGGGGTGGGTCCGTGTCATCCTGACGACACCATCACCACCTCTGAGCCCAAACCATCACCGCCCTTTGCCGGGACTCGGGCTCAGCCTCCTACTTCCTCGCCTGCCTTCTGTGGTATCTGGAGCTAGAGGAATTCTTTCCAAAGGTAGGTCCGCTCATCCACGCTGTCCTGTTTCCACCAGAGCCCACCTGAGAGTAAACTTTAAAGGCCTGTGAAGCTGGCGCGATGTGGTTCCTGCCGCCTTTCTGGGGTCTGTATCCCACAGGTACACTGTCCCCACACAGCACTTGTTTGTGGGTTCCCAAACCAGCTTTATTTATCTGTTAAATGTCTGACCGCCCCCCTCACCACCACCAAGAGCGTGAGTTCCAAGAGGCTGTGGCGTTTCTCCAGCACCTGCAGGGCAGGGGGTGTGGAAGCTGCTCCCCTGGACTGTGGGGATGGACTCCTGGTGGGCCGCCTTCTCCTGCTGAGTGGCCCAGGAAGGAAGCGGGTCTTGCGGGCGGTGGGCGGGGAGAGGGGTTTGTTTCAGGCGCACTTCTAGGGCTCTGATGCGCTTAGCTGGGCTCTGGCAGGAAAGACTGTGTGTGGCTGGTGAGGGGAGTGGGCTCCGGCAGTGACAGCCTGTCGCTGGGCAGCCTGCTGGCCTGACACCTGCAGACCAGGCCCCGCCAGTTAATCGGCTCTCCCACAGACACAGGAGGAGAGGAGCCCTTTGAGGGAGTCCTTGACTGCTCCCCAGGCAGAGTGTCTCACAGACACAGTCTTCGGGGGACTCCCCTTGGCTTCAGGAGCCTCCTGGGGGCAGAGGGGGCTGACGGGAGTGGAAGCCGGGACCACAGGCCCTCCGAAGGCTGGCAGGGCCCCCCTGGCCTGAGCACGGTTCCCTCCACCCAGGGGGGCCTCGTGGGCCAGATGGGGCTGGGTTTCCCCACAGAAGAAGATGTAGGTCTTCATTGGAGGGGGGGCAGGCCCTAGGTGGGGGCTGAGGGCCAGGTCCCGCACTGGGGGTGATAGCAGGGAGAGCTGCTTCCCACGAGAACAGTCGATCATAAAGGTGAGGTGAGCCCTGGGGGTGGCCTTCAGAGGGCAGGCCAGCCTCCCACCTGGAAGGGAGGAAAGGTCACAGGTGTATGTAGGCATTGCCAGCGTATGACCTCACGATTCGGGTTTATTCAGCCCCCTCCACTTAACAAGGGGGGTCCCTGCGTCTGGTCTTACCCAGAGAGAAGACAGTGGAATCTGAGTATGGATTTCAGCGTCAGAAAGAGCTGAACTGCTTGGTTTTTGTCCTCTTAGATTTTGGGCTCCTTAAGGGGATCTTCCCATGGCTTCCCACATATAAATATACATATATATATATATTTTAAAGATTATTTATTTATGCATACAAGAGCTGTGGCGTAGTTGTGGAGGGAGTGAGAGGATTCACCAGAGACAGTGTGGTGAACGGAACAGGTGGATCTACTGAATCTGCTGCTGAGGGGAGCAGCCGGGAGACAGGCGAGTCTCTGAGCCATGTGGGTCACTCCCTGGCTGAGGATTGAACTTGTGCTGCAGTGGCTACAGATAGCTTCATAGTGCTGAGACTTAACCCTTTGCACCACCAGGGAGCCCCCACATTGCTGTAAACAATGCAGGGACTCATATTGAATTTTGAGGCTGACTTTGTAAAATGCTGAATGAATGAACATCTGAAGTAATCACTTGTTATGGTATTTGACAAATAAGTGACTAGTCACCCCCCAGTGAAGGGTCAGAATAAATATAGAGAACTCTTCCTAGATGGATGGGGTCCGTTTCTCTACCACCTGGTGTGATCATTTTTTTTTAAAAGGTTTATTTGTGCATACAGAACTGGGGTACAGGCCAGAGGCTCAGGGGCGGCGAGAGGCTTTACCAGAGACAGAGTGGGGAGCAGAACAGGCAGATCAACGAAGTACACTGCTGAGGGGAGCAGCGGGCGGGCCAGGAGAGGTCTGTAGCCCCTGGGGTCACCTCTGGGGAGGGAAGGAACTCATGCGGAAGTGGCTTCAGCTTCTTAGTGCTGCGCTTTAACCCTCTGCGTCACCAGGGAGAACCCTGTTGATTGCTTTGTGAGGAAATAATAACTTAGGAATGATTCAAGGACACTTTGGACACTTTGATGTCCGAGTAGGGAGAGTCGCAAAAGTGATTTCTTTGAAGAGGTTGACGGTTGGAGAACTGAATTCGTCAGCCTCAGGGAACTTCCCTGTTTCCCTGCGTCACCATATGGCCTCCTCCTTCTGTGTCCAAAGAACTTGTTTGTTCTCTCATTGCTCAAATCTAACAACTATTGGTGTTTGAGCTTCTACTGTGGGCTTGGCGCTTTGCATAGTTATTTTTAATTTTACATCCAGTACAACTATCATTTTAATCCCAACCCCATGAAGTATTGCCTCAACTTTATAGCTGAGTAAGATGCCCAATAACTGCCTGCATGGCACATTTATTTATATCTAGTCGTGACAAATAATTATGATAGGATAATTAAAGCATAATTGATCAATGCTTTACTACTGGGATGTCAGAAACGCACTGACAATTCAGAAGAAAGTCTAATGTTTCCTATACATCCAGAGAAAACATTCTTTGTCAACATGAAAAAGAAGAGAAGGAATTTTAGACTAAAAGGGAAGCAAAAGTATATGTTGTGTTTGAAGGCCAATGAGCAAATCCAGAGGTCCTAAGGGAAGTTCATATGGATAAAGGGGAAATTGGCCAACACCCAAAGAGAACCTGTATCAAGAACAGATAAGAAGGTTGAGGACAGAGGTAGCAAAAGAAAACTAGAAAAAATCCAGATGGAGGTCTAGGTGCTAGAAAAGCAAGGAAAAAAATAGTGTCACAAAAGGTAAGGGAGCGCTCCCCGGTGGCACATTGGGTTAAAGCACCGTATTATGAAGCTCTCCCCGTAGCCACTGCAGCACGAGTTCGATCCCCGGCCAGGGAGCTGACCCACATGGCGCAGCAGACCTCTCCTGACCTGCTCACTGCTCCCCTCAGCAGTGTACTTTGTCGATCTGCCTGTTCTGCTCCCCACTCTGTCTCTAGTGAAAACTCTCATTCACACCTCTGACCTGTACCCCAGTTCTGTAAGCATAAATAAATAAATCTTAAAAAAAAAAAAAAAAAAGCAAAGGAGGGAATTATGTTAGATTTCCCGGGAAGTCAAAGTTTGTTTATATTCTAGTTTGTGGACTTTGTAAGCTCCTCATTTAATTATTCACCAAATAGCAGGCATTGGGTTGGTTATATGTCAACCAATGTGCTTGACTGTGCAAATACAAAGATGAAGACTGGATGGTAGAGCACATTTAAATTGAAGAGAGGGTCTCCCTGACACTTAGCGAAGGGGTTACATCTCAGAGCTGCCACTGCTGCAGCGCAGGTTCCATCCCTGGGCAGGGAGCTGACCCACAGGGCACAGCAGACCTCTCCTGTCTCCCCGCTGCTCCCCTCAGCAGTGTATTGTTGTCATTCTGCCTGTTCTGCTCCCCGCTCTGTCTCTGGTGAGTTCTGTCACCCTGTCCCCCACACTTCTGGCTTGTGCCCCTGATCTTTTATACTTTACCAGTGCCCCCAATTCAGCTGTGTCCAGCTCTTCATCACCACGCAGAAAGGAGACCCAGGAGAGGGCTGCTGCGCCATGTGGGTCAGCTCCCTGGCCGGGGTGGAACCAGACTGCAGCAATGCAGCTCTGAGACGTAACCCCTAGGGCCACCATGGAGGCCCATAAAGGCAGTCTCCCCCAGTACCAGCGGCCCACCTTCTCGGGGAACAGAGCCCAAGGTCTCTGAGCTTCTCTACTGCACAAGTCAGTATCTGGGCACTGATTAACGTGCAAATTCTGGGGCTGGGCTGGGAGGCTGAGACTGCATTTGTAACAGTCTTGTGGGGTGCCGGGGCTTCTGCGAGCAGTGAGATCCTCCAGGAGGAAAAGGCCTGGCCTGGACACTTTTTTTTTTTTTTTTAAGATTTATTTATTTGTGCATACAGAACTGGGGTACAGGCCAGAGGCTCGGGGCAGTGAGAGGCTTCACCAGAGACAGAGTGGGGAACAGAACAGGCAGATCAACGAAGTACACTGCTGAGGGGAGCAGCGGGCGGGTCAGGAGAGGTCTGCCACGCCATGTGATCTCCTCCGGGGCAGGCGGGAATCGAACTCATGCGGAAGCGGCTTTACATTCTTAATGCTGTGCTTTAACCCACTGCGCCACCAGGGAGGGCCACCTGGACACTTTTTTAAGTGAAGCGTCGCAAGGGTTGGTGATCCTCGCTGGGCCCCGGAGCTCCCCCATCGCTCCTGGAATCTTGTGCACAGCCTCCGAAGGCACCCTCAACGCCGGGTCCCATCTACCCTGGAGATCCCTGCTCCATGTTTCTCCTGTGACCTCCCTACGCAGTTCAAGATGCAGCACAGGGAGAAGCCTGGGACCCATCAGTAGGTTTATTGATAAAGAAAGGGCCTGAGTGGGTCTGTCTGGATCTGTGCTCTTAATAAGGGAATTTTGGGGGGCCTCTCTGGTGGCACAAGGGGTTCAAGTGCAGCACTGTGAAGCAATCCACAGCCACTGAAGCTAGAGCTCTATCCCAACCAGGGAGATGACCCACATGCACAGGGTATGGCAGACTTCTCCTCACCCGCTGCTTCCTCAGCAGTGTACTTCGGTCAGTCTGCCAGTTCTGTTTCCCTGTGTCTGCACACCCCTACATGTCTGGCCTGTACCCCAGTTCTTGTGTGCATAAATAAATAAATCTTTAAAAAAAGAAAAAGGAACTTGGTGAGTTCCCAGATAATGAACTAGTCCGTTGTCTTCATTACGTCCCAGCCAGACTCAGGTTTAGAGGGAAGCTTATGTGCTGGTATTTGGTTAGCAGTGGAAATGGACGAAGCCCACACCTACTTGAGAATCCTGGTAGTCCAGGAGGAGGGTGCCTGCCCTCTGACCCCTTCCCCCAGCTCCCCCCAGCCAGTCCTGCAAGGCTGGGAGACCCTCGCAGCTTCCTACCTGAGCTGGTCACCAGGTCTGTCTCAAGGTCCATGTTTTTGGGGCTGGTGCTCTCGTCCCTGGGGTCTTGGAGGGGACCGTTCTGCAGCCTCAGTGCCTGACTCTGGCACAGGCTGTGACCCCCCACCTCCAGGATATGCTCCCCACCCAAGCACCAGATCTCTTTATCTTTTTACCGGATCCGGATCTGCTGAGTGAATTCCACCTCAGCACAGGAACTGGCCTGGGGCAGCTAAAGGATTCTTTGATCAAGCAATTGGGTTATGTCAACAGGGATTGTTGTGAGGTTGTGCTGGAAGGCAGATCTACCAAACACAAGCTGTTTCTTCCACCTCCAGCTGTTTCCTGATTTGGGACAGGCCTTGGAATCTTCCAGCCAGATTTCAGTCTCCCAAACCTCAATCATGCCAGCATCACCATTTGCTTTTGCCTACATGAGTGTTCACAGACCGCTACTTACCCTACGTGTTCTTAGTCTGTCCAGGCGGCCAGAGACTGGGGGGGGCTGAACCACCATTCATTTCTCCTGGCTCTGGATGCTGGTGCTGTACCAGTGTGATCCCCAGGAAAGGGGAGGTTCTAGGTTCCCTGCCTCCCGCCCTCCCCCCAAAAGGAGAAAGGATCTGAGGAGAGAAGAATCTGGAGAGGAGGCTGAGGAGGAAAGAATCAGGATGGAGCCAGAGGAGACTGAGGGAGGCGCATGGAGCAGAGACAGGAGAAGAAACTGCTGCTTCTTGGCCCTGGACTGGTTGAAACAGACATGGGTGAGAGAGGTGTGGGGAGGTGACTTTATCTTGATTTTGATTGTGCTATTTTTCTCCCAGACTTGTCTGGCCATTTCTGACCCTTTTCTATGGGTCCCTGCCGACAGGTGCTTTAGACTGGCGATGGGCTTTCGGGCCTTGCTCTGGGCCAGTCCCTTCTGGGTGGACTTTCACCCACGAGGGGACGGGTAACTTTGGGTATTTGATTTAGAAACTGTGTTCTTTGTCTTTTCTGTATTGCACATTCATTGTAATAAAGTTCCTTTCCATTAAAGGTCTTATGTCTTGTCTTGCTGCGGCAGATGGCAGAACCTACTTAGAGCAGGCAAGTTTGGGGGTTCAGTGGAGCCCCTGCCCTGTAAAAGTACCTGCAGATGTTGGTTGTTTTGGATAGAAAGCCAGGTGTAGGCCAGAGGCACAGGGGCACCAGAGGCAGAGTGGAGAACAGAACAGGTGGATTTACTGAAATACACTTTGCTAAGAGAAGCAGTGGAAGAGACAGGAGAGGTCTGGGCACAAAGAAGGGGTTGAGGGTTGAGGCCTTTTTTTTTTTTAAAGTGTTTTTGGGAGTTTTTCAAGAGTGGAGAGTCAGTTGGGTCCAGTTAGTGCTGGGATATATGGTGTTGAACTTTGACACAAAATTTGTCCTAGTCCTGCTTTCAAATTCATGGTCAAAATGGTCAGTCTTGGGCCTTTCCTGGTGGTGCAGTGGGTTAAAGCACAGTACAAAGAAGCTTTTCCAGCCACTGCAGCACGAGTTCAATCCCCGGCCAGGTAGGTGACCCACAGGGCTCAGCAGGTCTCTTTTGTCCCGCCCACTGCTCCCTCAGCATGTGTTTCATTCCATCTGCCTGTTCTGCTCCCCACTTTGTCTCTGGTGACTCCTCGCCTCATGCACTCCCCCACCCCACATCTGGCCTGTACCCCAGTTCTTATGTGCATAAATAAAAAAATCTTTTTAAAAAAGATCAGTCTTATAGCCTGGTTCCCATGGCAACCTTATCAACTCTCCTATCTATTTAAGCCTCCCAAACCTTCCTGCTGGGCAAAGGGGACTTAGATATAATCTCATTAAAAGGCATCAGGAGGTTGACGTTTGGTGAGGATGAGCTTACTGTCATTGAAGGGTGAGTTTTTGCTGGGTGCTCCTGTGGCCCAAAGGGGCAAGAGCTCTCTCTGATCTCAGCATGGGGCTCCCCACTTGGCACTATGTACCTCCAAACACCCTACTTCTAATACCATCACCCTGGGGATTACGTTTCAGATATTATTTTGGGGGGATACATTCAATTCACAGCATCCTTTAAGTAAGCCAACTGTTTTAACTGGAAAGAACTACCCATTACAAGGAAAACTGGCCTAACTGTTGAGTGTGTCACACACGGCTACCTGTGTGACCGTATATGGGCGATAGTACAAGGACCAGGCCTCGCATCCAGGTGCACAGCACCACGTCAGCTTTCTAGAATCTGAACCTAAAGCCTATATGAGAGACACTTTCTCCTACAGCACTCACAGTAGCTGCGGACCCCACCCTAGGGGTTGGGTCTGTCTCAATAAATTCTACTCGTTCAGTCTTTCTTCCTTGCGGCCAGTCACAGAAATCAGGACAAAACAATAGCTACATTAAGTGGAAACATTACTTCTATAAATACTATAGGTGGCACATTCTTCATCCTTCTCCATGAGTAATCAAGAAAACATCAGACAAGTTAGTGAAGGAAAATCAATAATTTTAAAAAAATTTAAGATTTAGTTATGCGGCCCTCCCTGGTGGCGCAGCGGGTTAAAGCACAGCACTGAGAAGCTAAAGCCACTTCCGCATGAGTTCGATTCCCGCCTGCCCCGGAGGTGA